TCCTCCAACTCCTCTCCGTGGGCATGACGGCCATTCACCTCGATTCGAGTGCGTGTGTGTGTACGTGCGTGTGTGTGTCTGTGTGTGTGTGTACGTGTGTGCGTGTGTGTGTGTGTCTGTGTGTGTGTGTCTGTGTGTGTGTCTGTGTGTGTCTGTGTGTGCGTGCGTGTGTCTGTGTGTGTGTGTACGTGTGTGCGTGTGTGTGTCTGTGTGTGTGTACGTGTGTGTGTGTCTGTGTGTGTGTGTGTGTCTGTGTGTGCGTGTGTGTGTGTCTGTGGGGAGCGGTAGTGTAGCGGTTAGCGCGCTGCGCTATGAACCTGGCGACCCGGGTTCGATTCCCGCTCACGGCTAACACCAGTGACGATTATCTGAACCGGTCCTGGGCCTCCCCTTAGGTCGACTCAGCCTTAAATGAGTACCTGGTGCGGTGTGTAAACATCGCCACTAGGGAGACAAAGGCGGTCGGGCGTGGTGCTGGCCACCCACCCCCTCGTGTACCGTTCTGGCCTTCATAGGTGCTCGCTAACAGCACTTGCCCCTACAGTCTGTTCAGGCTATACGGGGGATCTTTGTGTGTCTGTGTGCGTGTGTGTGTGTGTCTGTGTGTGCGTGTGTGTGTCTGTGTGTGTGTGTACTCGTGCGTGTGTGAGTACACGTGTGTGTGTACGTGCGTGCGTGTGTTTGTGTGTGTGTACACGTGCGTGTGTGTGTACACGTGTGTGTGTCTGTGTGTGCGTGTGTGTGTGTCTGTGTGTGCGTGCGTGTGTGTGCGTGTGTGCGTGTGTGTGTCTGTGTGTGTGTCTGTGTGTGCGTGTGTGTATCTGTGTGTGTGTGTGTACACGTGCGTGTGTGAGTACACGTGCGTGTGTGAGTACACGTGTGTGTGTACGTGTGTGTGTGTGTACGTGTGTGCATCGGGCAGAGATGATCTCCCAAGCGAAATGCTGAGGGAGGGTGGCGTTTGTGCACAGACTGCCCTATATGACATCATAACAACAGTCTGGACCACTGGACGGGTTCCGCAGGACTGGAAGGATGCCCTGGTGGTTCCCTTCTTTAAGAAGGGGGACCGTACCGACTGTAACAACTACAGGGGCATCTCACTCCTCAGTGTGCCGGGTAAGGTCCTGGCAAGGATTATTCAACATCGCCTTGCTAGGCACGCTGAGGAGAGGCTTGCGGAGCCCCAATGCGGTTTCAGGAAAGGGCGGTCCTGCACAGATGCCATATTTTCTGTCCGTCTGCTACAGCAGAGGTGTAGGGAATTCCAAAAAGACCTACATCTCTGCTTTATTGACCTGGTCAAGGCCTATGATACCATCAGTAGGCCTGGGCTCTGGGTTGTTCTTCGTGCTTTCGGAGTCCCTGACCCTCTGCTCACGATCATTAAGGACCTTCATGATGGTGAGCGGGCCCGGGTAAAACTACGTGGCCGGGAGTCGGAGCCTTTCCCTGTACACCTTGGGGTGCGACAGGGATGTCCTCTGGCTCCCACATTATTTAACATCTATTTTGACCGCGTAGTTCGTGAAGCCTTCAATAGCTGTACCGGGGGAATTTCCATTTGGTACAGATATAATGGGAGGCTGATCGACGCCCGGGTGCGATCAAGGGATGGCTCCCTATTGGTCAACCACGTTATGTATGCCGATGATTTGGTAATAGCTGCTCACTCAGAGGAGGAGTTGGAGACGCTGCTGCTGAGACTGGAGCGTGCCACTAAGAGGTAGGGCCTTACCATCAGCCCCACCAAAACTAAGCACCTGCCTGGGTATTTTGTACCATCGGACACTCCACCCCCACAACTCCCAATTGGTGATGGGGCAGTTGTGGAGAGAGTGGAGAGTTTCCCATACCTGGGCAGTGTGCTTATGACTGGCTCCAGTCTATCAGCAGAGGTCTCACTCCGAATCAGTCGAGCGGCAATATCTTTTCATCGGTTGCGTAACGCTGTGTGGAAGCTACCTGGTCTGTCGCTCCGCACGAAGCTTCAGGTCTTCTCGGCCACGGTCATTCCCTCCCTTCTCTACGCTTGCGAGACGTGGACCCCCCTGGTGGAGCATCTTCGCCGGTTGGAAACATTTAGGCTGGCCTGCCTACGATCCATCCTGGGTTTAACCAGGCTGGATTGTGTGAGGAGCTCACAAATCCTTGAAAGATCTGGGCAAAGTCCCATCAGTGAGCTCCTCCGGCAGGCAAGGCTGCGTTGGCTGGGTCATGTAGCCCGCATGCCCAGCCACCGCATGCCTAAACAGCTTTTGTTCGGCCGGATCGAGGGGGCTAGACGGGCGCGGCACGGGCTGGAGAAGAGATGGAGTGATGTGGTACAGGAGGACGTGGAGCTGAGTGGACTTGCCGATGACTGGTACCAGCGGTGTCAAGATCGGCCTCGGTGGAGGAGGCTCGTGAAGGACGCTACTGGGCAGTTGGAGGCAGTCGCCCTCCAACAACAACGGAGGGCGGAGGAGCGACGCTCACAACAACGAGCGGAGCGCCGGGTGGCTAAAGCACAGCAAGTTGGCACAGTAGGGGGCACAGGTGGTGCATCAGCCAGTCATCTCGGTCATCTCGGTCAGTCGACCCGTGGCACCTGCTGGGTCTGCCCCGTGACCTCCTGCCAGCGGGCTTTCGACACTTCACGTGGCCTCAAGGTGCACTTGGCCTGGCACAAGCATCGTGGTGACGTCACCGCCACTTAGTGGCGAATGGCGGTTGTTGTTGTGTGTGCGTGTGTGTGTCTGTGTGTGCGTGTATGTGCGTGTGTGTGTCTGTGTGTGCGTGTGTGTGTCTGTGTGTGTACACGTGCGTGTGTGTGTACACGTGTGTGTGTGTGTCTGTGTGTCTGTGTGTGCGCGTGTGTGTGTGTACACGTGCGTGTGTGTACGTGCGTGTGTGTGTCTGTGTGTGCGTGTGTGTGTCTGTATGTGTGTGTCTGTGTGTGTGTGTCTGTGTGTGCGTGTGTGTGTGTGTCTGTGTGTGCGTGTGTGTGTCTGTGTGTACGTGCGTGTGTGTGTACGTGCGTGTGTGTGTCTGTGTGCGTGTGTGTGTCTGTGGTGTGTGTGTCTGTGTGTGCGTGTGTCTGTGTGTGTGTGTCTGTGTGTGCGTGTGTGTGTGTCTGTGTGCGTGTGTGTGTGTGTCGGTGTGTGCGTGTGTGTGTGTACGTGCGTGTGTGTGTACGTGTGTGCGTGTGTGTGTACGTGCGTGTGTGTACGTGCGTGTGTGTGTCTGTGTGTGCGTGTGTGTGTACACGTGCGTGTGTGAGTACACATGCGTGTGTATGTCTGTGTGTGCGTGTGTGTGCACACGTGCGTGCGTGTGTGTACGTGCGTGTGTGTGTCTGGTGTG